GTGCAGCGGCGCCGCCGAGTTGCTGCGCGCGTCTGACGCGAGAGAGGCGGCAATCTCCAGCAGCTGGTGCGCGGAGAGGAGGCGCAGGTAGTCCGCGGGCCGCAGGTAGGTATCCGTGAGCGGGGGAGGCAGCGTTGGGAAGAGCGCCCGCTCCGGCTCCACGCTCTCGAGCAGCGTCCGCGCGTCCCAGCTGAGGAGGTCCGCCAGCCACGACTTGCACGTCAGAAGGGAGGATGATTCGCGGGGAGGCTGGCGTGGCATGGCGTCCTACAAACCAGCACGAGACGACCTCGCGCCGTTCGCGCCAGGCTCGCGGAAGTCGGAACTTTCACACGAACTAGAGTTGAGCCCTTGAAGGGCCCCGCCCCCAATGGGGGCGGGGTTGAATGGGCTGGCGCTGGCGAGTGGCGTGGCGTTGACATGAGCACGAAGTTGCTAATGTGGGTAGACGAACAAAAAGTAGGGTTGAATTCGTCCACGTAAGGCTTGGCCTTGGGGACTGGTTGGGGTGGCCTCAGGCATCTCCAAGGGAGTCGCAGCGGTGCCCCATAAGCATCTTAGCGATTGTCGAACCTCGAAGTGCGTTCGTTTGAAGAAAAGGCACACCGTACTATCGGGCCACCGGTGTCGGGTCACCAGTACTAAACAAAAATTCGACACTTTGAGGGGTGAGAGCATGCAGTATTGTGGCATATCATGTCACATAAGGTCAAGCTTGACCGCAGAAGCATCAAGAAGCGGATACTCCAGCTCGACTGTGCCAGCAACGCTGCCTCCTCACGCCGGCCGGCTGCCAGCAGCCGTCGCGGCCCGTGGCGTGCACCAGAGAGGGAGAGAGGTCGAGTCCGCGTGGCTCAGGCCGGCCAGAAGGTGTGTGGCGACGGCACCGTGGCAGGAGTGCGGAGAAGAGCTCGCCGAACGCGAGCAGCGGAAGGCCGAAGTGTGCCAGCGCAAGAGCCTCGCGAACGGGTGCAGAAGGAGCTCGCCGTGACACGATGCCGGGCGGTGGTGGTGCTCTGGCGGCTGTGCACAGTGGGAAACGTCAGGCTGCAACAGGGCAGCACGATGGTAGTGCCCTGCTGCAGCCTGGCCTGACATGCACAGGGCGAACAGAGACGGGACTATCGCCTGGCGCTCGTCTGGGCAAACTTTGACCGCCGCCCGGCTCGCCACGAGCACGCAGCGACAAAATGATGACCGTGTCGAAGTTGAGGCTGGTCGAGAGAAAGAGGCTGCCGTGCGAGCCGGCAACTGGCTGGCTCGGCGTGGACAGCCGGCGGCGACTTTTCGCCGAAGAGCGTGCCTGCCGAAGAGCGAGTCTGACTCAAAGTGCACGGAGTGGGCGCCGCCGACCGTCGGGAGGAGTCCGATGGGTGCCAGGACGATCCAAAGAGCGATGAAGGCGCAAATTGCGCCGCCGAAAGTGGCGGTAGAGGCCAGGCCGTGCGCGTGGGCCGGTCGGGCCACGTCCCGGGGCGAGCGATCGAGGGCCGCGGGGCTCGCCCCGTCGGCCGAGCGGTGCGAACGGCCGGTCGCCCGCTTCGGGTTGGACCCGCCGGGCGGTCCGGCGGCGGATTGCATGGCCGGGCGGGCCTCCGGGAGGCAGTCGGGGCCGCGAAGGCGGCAGGGCAGAAAATCCCATTCGGAGAGCGTGTGGCGCGACCCCTCTGCTACTTTCAATGATAGGGATTTTTCTTACAGCTCCCCAAGCGCAGGTCGCTACTGCTCGAAGCGCAGGTCGTCCCCTTCCTCGGGACGGGCATCTCCTGTCTTGCGTCCACCCATACCGCGCTGGTGTTCAGTCTGGTGTTCTTTCACCTTTCCTAACTAACTAACTGAAAAATCCAAGAGACTTAGAGAGGAGTGGGACCTGTGGGAGGGCGGGAGAATCCAAAAAAGCCGTCCAAAAAGCCACAAAAACCGGCTGGGTCCCGCTTCTTAGTTCTTAGCTCCCGCGCGTCGGGCCCTTAGGGGCCTAGAGAACACAACCCCCTCTCCCTCTTCTCCCAGACAGTGGCTAGAAGTACGTACGTACACGCAAGATCAAAGCTCAGCCGTCGCTCCGGCGCCACCCGACCTGGAGCCCCGGGCTGCGGGCGGCGGCGGGCGCCTCCTGTTGGAGGCGCGAATCGGCGCGCCGCCTCCGCGTCTCCGCAGACACGGCGGCACGCCTCCGCCCGTGGACGGCGCGCACCCACTCCTCGGGCCTCTGCAGCACTGGCTGCACCGGCAGCGGCCGCCCCTCGCCCACCAGCGCCAACACGCCCGGCGCGGCTGCGCTGCTGCGCTGGTCGAGCTCCACCTCCGTGTCGGCGAGCGGCTCCTGCGGGCAAGCGGCGGGCGGAGGGCGGCTCGCTGAGTGGCCTGGAGAGGCGTGCGTCGGAGGAGCGACGCCGGCCGCACGCGCCTTGGCGTCGACGCAGAAGAGCCTGCCGCTGTCGCACAGGACAAGCATCGAGGTCTGCATCGAGACGTGCCCCACGAGGCTGGTGGTCTGCCTCAGGCACGGGCCCGAGAGGAGGACCGCCTCCCCGGGCCGCAGCAGGCCGCTCCAGTCGAGGCGGAGGAGGGCCCCTCGTGCCTCGTCCACCACGCCGGGCGCGGGGTCGCGCAGCATCGGCACCAGGGGCGAGACGGCCTTCGGGAGGGCAATCTTGCCGATGGCGGCGGTGGCCTGCAGCCGGACCGTCTCGTCCGCATCGCCGAGGAGCGAAGCGAGCATCGCGTGGGCCGCGGCCCGCTCGGCGCCGGCCTGCGGCGGTCGGGGCGAGAAGGAACGCCAAAGCAGCGAGGACGAGCTGCCGCTCCTGCTGATGGGCGCGGGCGGCGGGCCGCCGCTGCCGCCGTGCTCCGCCGAGGACGCTGCGCCAAAGAGGTGGCCGAGCACCTCGCACGCCGCGGCACGCACATCGGGCGTCCGCGTCGTCGCGCGACCGAGGACGGAGGACTGCGAGGCGGGAGGGCGGGAGGGCGCACGGGGTGGGAGGGCGGCGGGGTAGGGGCCTTCGCCCGTGTGGCAGCGGCGCGACCGCCTGCCGAAAGGCGGCGAGGACCGCGGCCGGGTCGGACCAGCGCGACAGGGCGGCGACTGCACCGCGCTGCAGTGGCTCCAGCCCGTCGCCCGAGGAGCGCAGCAGCGCGGCGACCAGCGCGGCGAGGGAGCCGGCGCTGCACTCGAGCCGGTGGAGCGCCGCGCAGACCGCCGCCTGCACCGTCACGTCCTCCCGGCGCGTCAGTACCCGCACGAGGACCTGCTGGGCGCGCGGGTCGCCAATCTTACCGGCGGCGAGTGCCGCAGCGTGTCGAACCTTGGTCGACGAGTCCGCGAGAGACCCAATCACCGTCGCGAGCGATCCCGCGTCGCGCCCCTCGCCGAGGGAGTGGAGGGCCTGCACGCGGACCGTCGCGTCGGGGTCGCGCGCGAGGACGCGCAGCCCAGCGCAGGCACGCTCGCTCAGCGTCCACGAGGTTGCGTTTAGCCGGTTGAGACCGAGGAGCTGCGCCGCCAGCCGCCGGTCCTCGGGGAGGGCGACGGTGAGCAGGTCGATCAGCAGGGTGAGCACCTCGGGCCGCGGGGACTCGGAGAGCGCCTCAAACGAGGGAGGGCCGTCCCGCTGCGGGAAGGCAGCCTGCCAGTGCCGGTCGCCAAGCCGGCCCAAGGCGGCGGCGGCCGCGTGGCGCACGGGCCGGTCCGAGTCGGAGAGCAGGCCCATGAGCGCCTCCATCGCCTCGCCGCGCAAGTCCGAGCCGTCGGCCTCGCCTCGGATGATCTCGTCGGCGAGCCTG